TTATACATTTCTATCACATTTATAACAGCCATCACATTCTATCATTCCAAAATAGATGGTCTCATTTGCTGGGTATTCTCACCTTAAATCCTCTTACATTAATAAAAATATCCTAAACTAACGATGACTACTATGCATCACTCAATGCATTTAAACTGAAAAAAGAAAGGAAACGTTCACTCTTAAGAACCTGAAGCGGAATTCAGACTAGTTATGATGATTCCAGGCTAGATCTAAATAAGCTGTTAAGGAGTTAAAGATAGTTGTCATAAGATGAATTAGTTTGACATGATTTAGTGATATGATGCGGGCATCCAGATGGCTCATGAAAATATTTTCTTTATTTATGTGGCCAGTGTTATGGAGTATAGCGTTAGTTTGTTATCTGAAGTGTCAGCCCTCCTAACTTAGACATTATTTTTCCTGATTATATTCCTCCACATCTGTACCCACTAATCACCGTCATTCTTAGTCTTATGGTTTTCAATTCATTCCACGCTTGAATAGAGTATGCGTGGTTTCAGTTCTTTTTCCCATTGTGTATTTGTGGTGGGTGGAGTTGGAAGACAAATTTTTAAATTGCTTTGCCTACTGGTATCAAAAGGGAGCTTATTTATCTACTAGTCTGACTAAAGAGCTTTTTATTCTATAGTTGAATTAAGGATACTTTGTTTTGCCTAAGTGAGTAGGACTTCACACAAAAAGCACAGAGTTAAGATCAAAGAAAAGGAACTTTTAATACTGCTTCTCATTCCCCATAGATTTAATGATTTGAAAGGGATGAATTTCTCACCCTAAAGAAAGTAAAGCATTAACAGCCTCTCACATTCCAGTATATTAAAATGGTTTCAAATGCTGCTGCTAACAAAGGGACATTCTTCAGAAAGCGAGTGCCCATAGACTGCGTAGGTTTATGCATTTTGCTCACTTTGACTCTACCTACCTTTGGAAGATACCACAACATTATTTTGGGTCTAAAACAATTTGTGATGGCCATACACTTAGAGACCCTACTTATCTACCCTCAGTTTTAGGCTAGGCTTGGTCCTCCTTTTATCGGTTTCATCTTGCTGAGTACAGAATTGTGCATATGTGGTTAAGAGGGAAACTGTAAAACATAATATTGTGATTATCTCCCAACATCCATTAACCCTTTGTAGTAACTGCCCTACGGAGAAGATGTCCATGTGCTATATTTACGACCAGTGAGGAATGAAGAAAAGTCACTGAAGTAGGTGGGAGTTAGTCTGAGCAAAGAAAGGCCACAGGCAGAGACAATCCCACTCTTTCATCTGGATGCTGTTCTCTCTGAATATATTTCAATTAAGTACTGAGGTCATCTTACTGTGCAGGCTGAGGAAGAAACCTCTCAAGGAAGGAAGATTAAAATGTAGAAAGAATATGGATCTTTAAAAATATATATATTCATTTATTATTTTAGAGAGAGAATGTGGGGAGGAGGGGCAGAGGGAGAGTCTTAGGCGGACTCTGAGTCGAGCACGGAGCCCAATGTGGTGCTTGAGCTCATGACCCTGAGTTCACGACCTGAGCCGAAACCAAGAGTCAGACACTTATCCAGCTGTGCCACTCAGGTGCCCCAAGAATGCAGATCTTTCATGATCCTGCTGATCCACTCAGAACATCATTTTGGAACCCCCATACCATTTCTGGTATTCGAGTTATGAGATGATACATTTCTTTATTGTTGTCTTGCATTTTGAAAGAGGATTATTCTTGATGGGGTTGAAAGAACCCTAACTGATACATGATGGCGTTTCAGTGAATGTGCCCATTATGAAGGGTAATTTCGTAATGAAGTCTATGGCTTCTAGTAGCTGTCTTAATAGAAAAAGCATCAGTTGAAGAGTAGGTTTTCTTTCTTCCCATTTATGAAGTGTTGTCAATCCCTAAAATTAATTCCTTAGGTGCCTGGGCCCCATGTAGCTTCTTTCAACAATAGCTATAGTTATATTCTTCTGAAAGTGAAAGTCTGAATCTTTAGATTTGACATAAGGAAGTGCTATCAAATGGAAATTTTATCCCATAATCTAAAGAATAATACCTAGTCTCACTTGTTTCTGGTTTTGAAAATACCAGTCAGTATTAAAAAAAAAAGGAAGTCATGACATTTTATTAATAGATTAGGTCTCTAAGAGTTGTTGAATAAACTGAAAAATGACTGTGAAAAAGAGAATTGAGATCAGTCCCTTGGTGCCCGACACTTTCTGGATGTAGTTTCCCTCCTATCTGTCTGAGCTTGCTAGACCTCAGGGGAGCCTGCTGAAAACCTACTTACCAAAATAGAAATTAGGACATTCTAATCATTCTCAGGATCAAAATGAAGAAGTGGCAGTGCTTGGGGATTGCAAGGTTTATATGGTTTCAATTTTGGTTTCTAACTAACCAGTTTGTTTTCTTTTGAATAGGTAACATTATTGATAAAAATATAATTTAGCCTTTATACAGGTTAACTTCCTACATTGCTAATAGCAATTTAATATCCTATATATTGCACTATGTGAGTTTTCTATTAACTTGAAATGTTATGTGGCACACACCATACAGTGCTCATCACAGTATAGTGTAGATCACTGTATCACTCCATATGGCTCACCAGGGGAGTAAGAAAGCTGCGCTCTCATCAGTTCTCTGTGATATGGGGCAAGCCAGCTTCTGGGAATGCCGTTTCTCTCGTCTCAAAAGAAAGTTGTTGTAAGGATCATATATAATATTGTAGGGATAAAAACATTTTGTAAGTTAGATACATAAAACAGGAGTTGTAACTCTGGCACACTGGCACATTTGGCTGAAATATAAGAAGCTTATATTTAATGCATAAAACAAATACATTGTCTATTTTATAAAATAGAGTGCTGCCTATGAAATAAGCAAAATACAGTAATCAGAAGTGATGCAGAGGGAGTGACAGGTTCAGTCTGAAGGGATGGCAGAGATCCATCAAGACCTGAATGCCTGAGCTGGATCTGGAAGTCTACTTTCACAGCTAACCTTTTTCCCAACCAGAGAATGGGATGCCCTGTATGGAAGCATGGAGAGAGCCAAGAGTGTGTTATGTGCAGGGAGCAGCAAGTCGGAGGAGCCCAAATCTAGCAGCCCTAAAGGCTGAAGGTGGGGAGGTCAGGTTTAGTGCAGAGTGTGAGGAAGGGTAAACCTGAATGGGAGCAAACCAGAGGGCTCATTTACGTGCTGGCAAGGGAGGTGGGCATACCCTGTAGGCCTGATTCATCACTGGAATACCAGAAGATTTTTGGAAGTTGTTATTATTGTTGATCTCATTCCAGACTTTCTGAATCAAAATCTTGGCTAGGGGATGGAGTGGGTGGTGAGACTCAGAGCTACAGCTATACAACCCTGATATCAGTTAGGTTTCAGAACCACTGACCTGGATAAAAGAAAGCCACTAGGAGAATTTGAGCAGGAAAAATGACATAGTCAGATTTGCATTTTAAAAAATGACTCAAGCAGCTATGTTGGGCATGGCAGGAGGGGAGTGGAACCTAGGGGATAGAATTCAGGGCATGACAAAAACCTCGGAACCAGATAAGAGGATTAAGAGCAGCAAAGCAGGTGGCAGGAGGGTGTTAAGTGGGCTGACAGAAGGGGATGGGGGTCCGAAGGAGGAGATGAGTTCGGTGGTGCAACAGCCTATGAGACAAGGAAGGCCAGTGGCCCAGAAGAAGAATGGGACTTTTCCCTGGAATGAGATGGGGAGCCTGGAGCATTTTAAGGAAGACAGTGACATGATCCACTGCTTGGAAAGGGATCATGACCTGGCTGCAGGGAGTTTCATCAATGAGCGGCACCTTAGCAAGTGTTTCCTTAGCACAGGTGCTCTTGGGGGCAGAGAGCTGGAATAGCTGCTTCCTGCCATCTCTGTCTGAACTCCAGGTTCTTGGGGGCACTGGGGTGGCTCAGTCGGTTAAGTGGCTGAGTCTTGATTTCGGCTGAGGTCATGATCTCCCAGTCCTGGGATCAAACCCTGAGTTGGGCTCCATGCTCATCGTGGAGTCTGCCTGAGGATTCTCTCTCACTCTTTCTCCCTCCGCCCCCCCACTGCTTTCTCTGTGTCAAATAAATCTCTTTAAAAAAAGAACTCCAGTTTCTAGAGCGTGTTATTAATGCATTCAGACTAATAAAGACAGGGAAAGAAGAAAAACAATAAGGTCTGATTTATGGGAAAATATTAAACCAAAGACAAATACTCTAGTGTAAGTAAAAGAAAGAAGGATCTCAATGCCAAAAAATCAGCCAGGTTTTCACTCAGGGAAAATTAATAATGTGCTATGATCATTGAATGTAGTCTAACACCAAGAACTCTGCTGTACGTGTCAGTAACTGGTTGGAGTTAACTGTAAACCTTTGGGTTTCTTTTTTTTTTTTTTAATATTTTATTAATTTATTTGACTGAAAGAGAGAGAGATCCCAAATAGGCAGAGGCAGGCAGAGAACGAGGGGGAAGCAGGCTCCCTGTTGAGCAGAGAGCCCGATGCAGCGCTCTATCCCAGGACCCTGAGATCATGACCTAAGTCGAAGGCAGAGGCTTAACCCACTGAGCCACCCAGGTGCCCCTGGATTTCTTATAAAAGTCCCAGGTTTAAGTATTCAGCATTGTGGTTATGTGCCCATCTCTGTGTCCTGTGTTTTTTGGGGGAATGTATTTATCATAATTCTAATCCCAACTCTGTTTCTAGTTTCATTCGGCCTTGTGTAAATCATTTAAATCTTGAGTTTATTAGAGTGCACAGAATTGGATTTGCAATTAGATCTGTATTTTTTTTTAATTCCAGTGTAATTAACATACAGTGTTATATTAGTTTCAGGTGTACAATGCAGTGATTTATCTGCTCTCTATATTACTCAGTGCTCCTCGTCATAGGCGTACTCCGAATCCCCTTCAACTATTTCACCCATCCCCCCACCCACATCCCTTCTGGTAACAACAACCAGTTTATACTCTAGAGTCTGTTTTTTTTTTTATCAAAAATATGGAATGCTTCATGAATCTGCATGTCATCCTTGTGCAGGGGCATGTTAATCTTCTCTGTATCTTTGCAATTTTAGTATTTAGCACATGTGTTGCCAAAGTGAGCATGACAGATCTCTGTTTCTTTCCTAAGTTCTTCTGATGGACATTCAAATGTGTTTTATAAACATTTGAACCCTAATTTCTGCATGTTTAAGGTCAATATGAGGGTCAAAGAAACTAAATTGATACAATATACCAGAACAGTGCCAGGCACATCGTAGGCCCTCTATAAAAGCTGGTTGCCTTTTTCCAATTACTTTTCCTCATTTTGAAAATGGAGAGTTGGGAGAGAAGAGCAGAAGTGGCCAGCATGTGGTCCCCAAGCCATTTTCACTTCTTGTCTTCATGGCAGACATTCTATTTGATGACAGCCTTCTTTGTTTTGAAACTAAAAGAGCCTCAAAATTCTCCCAACATAGAACCTTGAGCTACTTCTAGCAGCTGCATGGATGTGACACTGAAGATAAAACCTCTTTGTGATCCCTGCACTGGATAAGCTCTAAGGTTGTAGCTGAGACACTCTGAGCCCACAACATACAGAACTCAATTTTCAAAATCATACAACTGCGGGGAAAGCAAATTTTTTAAAGCTCAGAAGAGACAAGCACTAAGGTATGGAATGGGATAGCTTGCTGATGGAAGCTTTCAGGAAGGTCTGAGAGTGGCGATGAGATTGGTCATTGTGGAATGCAGAATTAAGACCCCACAAAGTTGTCTATGTCTCAGTTCCTGGAAACCGTGAATGTATTACCTCACGTGACAAATGGACTTTTTGGTTGTGACTCAGAATCTTGAAATAGGGAGATTATCCTGGAATATCTGGGCGAGACCACTATATTAACAAGCACTTTATAAGAGAGAGAGGGAGGCAGAAGGGTCAGAGTCAGAGGAGATGTCAGGATGGAAGCAGGAGTCAGGGATGCAACCAGTCAAGGAATGCACATCCCACATCCCTCCTTCCCAGAGCCTCTAAGAGAAATGCAGTCTTACCCCTTTTAAGACCCATTTTCAGCTTCTGACTACCAGTACTATAAAATAATCAATGTGTGTTGTTGTTATATGCCATCAAGTTCATGGTAATTTGTTGTAACAGCAACAGGAAATTAACGCAGCCCTTTAAAGAAGGGCTTGGATAGACCATAAAAGAGGGACAATTTGGGTGAGTAGTAGATGATAAACAGAGGCTTAAAGGTGAGCCTAAGCAAAGTGGACGGTGGGAAGGATGGATCCTGACCAGTTTGAAGAGGGGAGATAGGGCTGCTGCCAGGAAGGAACACAGCCCAAGAGTTAAGACTTGGAGAGGTTTGATAGCCTGAATGTGAAACCTCCTTCTGCTTTTTTCAGTAACCTTGGTCCAGTTTCTTAACTTTTCTTGCATTACAATGTTATCTATAAAAGTGAGAATAATAGTGTTGCCCATTTCATGGGGTTAAGTGAGATCTGGATGTAACCTGTCTGGTACTGAATAGTGCTCCATAATGGGATCAAAGGTGAACTGCCACTTCATTAGATTATAAAAAACTGAATACCAGAGTGAGATTAGGAAGCTTTACTTCCAAGACATTGGGGGACCATCCGAAGATCTTGAAAACTAACCTAACGCAAAAGGACTCCTATGGTAAATTAACCTGGCAAAGACAAAAGACAGGAAAACCAACCCTTTAAAGGGAAAGTTTGAAGGATAGAATTGATCTTCACCTTAATATAGGAAAAGTCAGGCACCTACTGCCCAAGCATGTTGGCTGACTCTAATGGTTTATTATTGGGGCAGACCTTAGTGGAAACACCTCTAGGCTGGTAGTTCAGAGAGAAAAGCTCTTGCGCAGACTGTGTCAGCCCGTCATTACTTGCTTTGAGCAAGCCCCTAATGTATATGGTTTCGGGTCCCCACTGGTGAACTCAGCCCTCACGGCTCGGCATGTGCTGAGGCCTGCTGTTTCCAAGTCATACTCCTCTTGGGCTTATCTCTTCTGTGAGCCTGAGGTCAAATGATTTATCTTCAGAAAACCGCAAGGATAAAAGAGGCCTCCTGAAAAACAAGTTAGTCCTAATTGCTATGAATCTCAGTAACTACTGAAACCCTGCCCTTACCAAATAATTATATATATATATATATATATATATATATATATATTTATTTTACAAGGATGTGAAGAGTAGTAGCTACAGGACATTCAAAAGGTATAAATCAACATGTAAATACTGCATTTCATATCCAATTAGATTGTTTCTAACCATGCTAAGGATCACCTGTGTGGCATCCTTTGGACAGGGCCTTTTGCCTAAAACAAGCCAGGGAAAGAGAACAACTTCTTCCCTGTGTCTAGCTAGTCAACTGGGACGGCGCAGCTAGTTACTCAAACCATCAATGTTTTTCCTGCTTGTGAATTGTTAGTTCAACAGAATTACCCTTATTGTGGAGAAAATCCCTAATAAAAATTGTCCAAATAGCGTGTGAAAAACAGCGAAAGGTAAAAAAAAAAAAAAAATACTCGGAATAATTTTAGGTGCAACATTTTCCAGTACTAAGTGAGAAAAGAATGCTTCCTGCCTTTAGTCAGTAACTCAGGATCTAACCAACACTTTGGTACTGAGTGAGATGTTGACAGTAATTTGAAGAAAAGTGTTATCATCCACAGTCAAGTGTCAGCAGTCAGGACACCTTCGATGCTAAAGGAAGCTATTTAAACCCTGTATTTTTAGAAGAGAAAATAAACAATATGGCAACAAACGGGGAAGATCATAGACAGTCACAGTCATTGACATTGTCCAGGCATCACTAGAACCCCCAGCATTCTGAAACCACCTTGCTTTCGTATCTAAATGAAAGAACTCCAGAATCCAGCCTCACAAAGCGTGAGAAGCCCAATGCCTTCCTTGCCAGGTGCCTGAGGATTCCTGGAGTGGGGAGGACGTGGATTGTTTACCACCGGAGGTCGGTCCAGCTTCCAGCTCCGTGTCCACCTCTCTCTCATGGAACCTGATACCCTGCCAAGATTTGGAGCTGTTCCAACCCTCAGCGAGGTCTGGTCTGTTCCAAAATTTACACATATTGCCCCTCTCCCACGCCGTATTTTCTCCACATTGGTTATATAAACTGTCTAAGCCAAGTTCATAGAAGATGGGGGGAAAGCAAAGCAGAATTACTGAAAACCAATCAGAGAACACCTTAAACGGGACACCAGCCCTCGGTGAGGTCAAAGGTAGCAGCTACCCCACTCTGTAGGCTCTGGCTCCCCCACCCCTCCCCGGCTGCTGAGACCTCACTTAGCCCCCTCTCAGAAAACCTGTCTTCACATCCTTTCTTCTGGGAATGTCCAGAAACATTGCTTCTATTTTCTTTGTCCATAAAAGACTTAAAAGTCCTAGTACTTCATTGTCAGGACATGGGCACAAGTCTGCTTGGACTGGGTGTTGAGCGTGGGGGAGAGTGGGTGGAGAGCGGGAGTACGGAGCACAGGCAGCTCTCTTCGGTCTCTGCGCGGCCCCGGGAAGTGCCGGGTCTTTTATTCTTGCTGCTGCTGCTCTCATTCTCCTCCTCCCTTCCATTCCTCTGTCCTCCTCCTAGCCTGCCTTTCTTTCTCTTCTTCCTTCTACTCTTTTCTTGTCATTTTGTTTTTGAGATTTTATTTCTTTGAGAGAGAGAGAGAGCACTAGCAGAGGAGGGGGCGGGGAGCAGCAGGCAGAGGGAGAAGCAGGCTCCCCTCCCCGCCGAGCGGGGAGCCCGATGCAGGACTGAATTCTGGGACCCTGGGATCATGACAGGAGCTGAAGGCAGACGCGTAACGGACTGAGCCACCCAGGCGCCGCACCCCCTTTTACTCCTCTTTCATGCCTCCTCCTCTTCTTATATAAAGTTTGAGAAAATCCGTCCTGAAATGCATAAGTTATTTTACTAAGGAAAATCCGGAATCTCTAACCTGTCTTCAACGCTCTCTGTAATAAGACCCAGCCTACCTTACTTCCCAGCCAACCCCTTTGTGTAGCCTGTGTTTTAGCAAAATGGCATTATTTACAGATCTCTGACTTCTCCCCACCGTGGAGGCCTTGCTCATTCTTTTTATACCTACATAGTCCGGATTCTCCAGAGAAAGAGAACTGAAAGGGGAGTATATATATACATATATATATATATATATATAGAGAGAGAGAGAGAGAGAGAGAGAGATTTTATGTGTGTGTGTGTGTCTGTCTATATGTATTTATAGATATACGTATTTAGAAAGAGAGAAAGAGATAGCTAGATAGTGATGATAGATTGAGAAATGGGCTCATACCATTGTGGAGGCTGAGAAGTTCCATGATTCGCCATCTGCTGGCGGTGTAATTCAGTCTGAGTCTGGATGCTGGAGAACCAGAGAAGCCTAGGACATAAATTCCATTTGAAGGGCAGGGGAAAAAAAAAGGAGTAAATCCCTTTCCTTCTATCTTCTTTTCTGTTCAGACCCTCAATAGATAAGATTCGACCCACCCACGCTGGGGAGGGCAATCTACTTTAGCGAGCCGGCCACTGCAAATGCTGATCTCATCCAGAAATGCCCTCACAGACTGACCCACAAACAGTGGTTACTCTGGGCACCTCTAGCTACTCAGGCTGACGTTGCAATTAATCATCACAACATCACCAAGCCCAGCCTACTCCGGGAAGTTCAGCTGAGCATTACACTTCTCACTACTCAGTACAGATAATATTCCTACCCTGACCACCTTTCAGGCCCCCATGAGGTTCTGCCTCCAAAACAGAGATGGTGGATCATTTCAATCTGCTCTCCAGTTCTGCTGCTTTGAGTCAGATTGTAGAGTCAGGAAGAGCTGTATTTGAATTCCAGCCCCGTTGCTTCTTAGTATGTGTGTACTTATTTCCTTGGGCAGACTATTTTACCTCTCTGTGTCGCATTTTGCTTGTCTGTGAATGAGAATAAAGTAATACCTCAAGAGTTGAGGGGGGTTGCGCCTGGGTGGCTCAGTGGGTTAAAGCCTCTGCCTGAGGCTCAGATTATGATCTCAGGGTCCCGGGATCAAGCCCCACATCGGGCTCTCTGCTTGGCGGGGAAC